TGCTCAGAATGTGTGGTGACATTGTGATCCACCCTGAGCTTGTACTGCTTTGCTTCCTCTGCTGATTACACCCCACTTTGGCTATGGGGGTGTGTCAGAATGTTAACTTATGCTCTAGCCTGTAGTGGGGTGCTCTATAGCGAGTACAACCCTTCTAGGGTTTGCTATTTGTATCCTCATTCTTGCTAGTTCAATTATCTCTTCTCTCTTCTAAACTTTAACAGCAGGCAGGAGGGTTCAGGCGGGAACAGTTTTCGTAACTGTACGTTGGGAATGAATTTGAATAAGGGAATGTACCCCTTAGAGTACATGGCTAGCTAGGTCGATTCATCTTCCCTGTACTCATATTTATATCCTTGTGCATGTTTTTTTTATCATCTCAAGCATTTTACATTCATTCTGCTATTGAGGTCAAGGGCCCACCACCACTCAGTAGTGTGCGAACCTTCTTGAGGTGATCCTAAGAACGATCAACTTCTGATCGCAACATACGTGAAACACCAGTTTTGTTTTTCGCTAACTCAAACCCTACTTGTACGGTGTACAGTTTGGTTGAAACGCAAAGTTACTAGCCAGGAATTCCGGATGCACTGTTCATTACCATTCAGGCAATAATGTTGACCATTTTGGCATGATGGTTACCACGGTGGCGATGAGAGGATACCTCTGTTACGATTTGGACACGTGGCTTACTTCGCGCGCGATCGAGCGCAATGAGTGTTACCGCGGAGGAAATTACCCCCAAACAAGGGTTTGGAGCAAATCTCTCAATGGCGGTGTTCACCAGCAACTCAGAAAACGACGGCATTTTGGCGCCATCGGCATGGTGACCGCATCCGGAACCGGGGTCGAAACCCGCCCAAGAGGTCTGGGCGTAATGCGGTCCACGTGTGAAAGAAACTAGAACGAGAATGAATGAACTAGGAATGAAGTGAGTACATATAGGAAACCCTGATTGGGTTGTACCCCCTATGGGATACCCCACTATAGCCTACACAAATATATAAGCTATAATGTTCTGACACACCCCCATAGGCAAAGTGGGGGAGAACAAAGGGTCACAAGACCAGTCAAGCAAAGCAAAGCAAAGCTCAGGGTGGATCACAAAGTCACCACACATTCCGAGCACAAGTTCAAAGGCCAGAAGGCCAGTTCACATGCAAGATCACATATATATATATACAAGAGGCTAAGCAAGCAAGAGCAAGAGTATATATATGTGATAGTACAAGCAAGGTCAAGAAGTGAGCAAGTGAGGCAAGACAGGCACAAGACCCAGCTGAGTGCAGAAGCGCTGATGATCACAAGGCGCAAGTGCCTTGGTGAAGACATCAGCAGTGTTGGCCTCAGAGGCCACGTACGCAAGCCGCATCTGTCCACGCTGCTGTAGCTCACGAGCAAGAAAGTAGCGGAGAGCAATGTGCTTTGTTCTGTGCTCCAGTCGCTGCTCTCGACACAAGGCCAGCATGGCCTTGTTGTCTACGTACAGGACTGGAGGAGAACGAGGCAGCTCTCCAAGGTCGGTCAGCAGGTAGGTGAGCCAGCGAAGCTCCTGGGCAGCCATAGCCCCGGCGTAGATCTCAGCCTCACAACTGGAGCCGAGAACAGAAGACGAGCGGGTAGCCCGCCACGAAACAGAGCCGGAACCAAGACTGAAAGTGTAACCCTGTGACGACCGCTGCGTAGCCTGGTCGTCAGCCCAAGAGGCGTCCGCGTGCCCAGTGAGGACCACTGGACTCCGCCCTCCAAGCACTAGACCCATGCCCGACGTACTGCACAAGTAGCGCAACACCCTCTTCGCTGCAGCCATGTGCTCTGGTCGGTGTCTCCCAGGAGCAACATAGCGTGCGAGAATGCTAAGAGGGTATGCAAGGTCAGGTCGTGTGCAGGTCATCAGGTACATGAGGCAGCCAACAAGCTCTGGATACGGGACACTCGACTCTACGGACTCATCCGAAGGCAGAGCTGAGAGCGAGTGGCGAGTAGGCAGAGGAGTGGCCTGAGGCGAGGAGTACGTGAAGCCGAAGCGCTGAAGGACCTGCTGCACCATGTGTAACTGAGTCAGGGTAATGGTGCGGCGTGCTCTGTCCCGGGTGATCTGCAAGCCAAGGTAGCTGCGCAGTTCACCCAGGTCAGTGCACGTGTGTCTCTTCTGCAGCTCGGACTTCACGTAGGCGAGTCCAGCAGTGTCAGCTGTGGCAAAGACCAAGTCGTCGACGTACACGAGGATGTAGAACGGCGGCAGAGAGGTGTCGGTGCGCAGAAACAGCGACGGGTCGGCAGTAGAAGGAGCAAACCCAAGTGCCGCCAGTGTAGTCCTCAGTGTGTCGTGCCACTCACGTGGCGCCTGGCGGAGACCGTAGACTGGACGCCGGAGACTCCACTGGGTACCAGGAGGGAACGACCCAGTGAAACCAGGTGGGCGGCGCAGCCAGATCTCCTCGTGCAGGCTGCCCTGTAAGAAAGTAGTGCTGAAGTCGAGAGAGTGCAGCTCGTAGTCACGGTGAGCAGCAACGTGCAGCAGTACCCGAAGAGTGGTCATCTTCGGGGTAGGGGAGAAGGTCTGAAAGTAGTCAACTCCCTGCCGCTGACTGAAGTTACGAGCCACGTAACGCGCCTTGAAGATAGGTGGAGAACCCGGCGGCCGCTTCACCCTGAAGATCCACATGCCACTGACGATGTTCGCCCCAGGAGGGGGGACAGCGTCAACGTAGGTGCCTGTGGACTTCCAGGAAGCCATCTCTGCGTCCATAGCTGCCTGCCACTGAGAGGAGTAGGGACCCTCTATCGCCTCCGCGTAAGAGCGCGGAGTCGGGATGTCAAGTGCATCCGGGTCTCCCTCAGGGGTAAGCAGTACGGACACGAGATGAGGTGAAGCAGCGGCCAGACACTGGAACTCCTCCTGCCTGTCCTCAAGGACGTCCGTGCCAAGGGCACACTCACCCCCGACGGACGGAGGACAGACAGACTCAGACTCAGTGACAAGACTCGCAGCGTAGTCTAGGCGACAGCGAGCAGCAAAGTCGACGAGCTCAGTAACAAGGGCAGACGGAGCAGTAGACTCGAAAGAAGGGTCAGTGACGGCAGTAGCAAGGAGACGCGTGACAGTAGGACTGGCAGCACGAAGAGAGTCCGACTCCGGGTCGGCAAGAGCAGGAAGAGAGGACGCAGGAGGAGAAGGCAAAGGGGCACGTAGAGGAGCAGTGGACGGACGCAGAGACATCCGGTGCGTGCCAGGGACAAGAGGAGGACGCTGACGCGAACCGCGACCACTAGCGCGCGCAGCACGAACAGGCGACGCAGGACGAGACGCAGGCTCACGACGCTCAGTAAGACCTCCAATAGGACCAGCGTAGGGAGAAGGAGCAGGCAAAGGGGAGGCAGGCTGTAGCTGTGACTGTGACTGGACAGGCTGTGGACCCTCTAAGGGAGGAGGAGGAGGACCAGTAGAAGGTGTAAGACCAAGAACCTGCTGCAGGAGTGGAACGAAGTACGGTCGAGGCCGCGTGGCGACGCCAGATACAGCAGGGACAGCACCAGGACCCCCAGCAGGAGTACCCGCTCCAGCAGCACCTCCAGTAGCTCCAGCACCTCCAGCAGCACCTCCAGCAGCTCCAGAACCCCCAGCAGCACCTCCAGCAGCTCCAGAACCTCCAGCAGCACCAGGAGCACCCCCAGCAGGACCGCCAGTGGTAGTCTCAGCGCCAACACCCTCAGCAGCACCAGCTCCAGTCGAACCTGCAGGCCCAGCAGCTCCAGTACTCCCAGGATGAGCACCTCCGGGACCCGCGACAGCAGCACCCTCAGTAGCCGACGAACCTCCAGCACCAGCAGCACGGCTCCAGCGCCGGGCAAACCACTCGCGCAGCTCCTGTGGAGATTGAAAATGCGTCGCACGCCACGGGGCGTGCGACAGAGCATGTAGCAGCGGAAGCAGTAGTACCCACAGGCCGAGAGCGTAACCGCTCTGAAACCATGTGAAAGAAACTAGAACGAGAATGAATGAACTAGGAATGAAGTGAGTACATATAGGAAACCCTGATTGGGTTGTACCCCCTATGGGATACCCCAATATAGCCTACACAAATATATAAGCTATAATGTTCTGACACCACGAAACTTCAATCCCCAAAACAGGAAATTTTACAACCGCATATGGAACCCCCAGCCCCACCTTCCTCATCTAGTTGCGCGAATTTTACGCGCCACTGACCAGTGCCAGACCGAGGGCCAAAAACGAACTAGGGTAACAAGCGCAAAATAAAAAATAAAAAAAACGAACGATTTCGACCAATGGAGGCACTACGAAGGTGTGTTTGGGAGGGGAAAAATGGGGGGTATTTGAACCCCCCTTTGTCAAACAACAGGCTTGTTCAGAGGTTCCCCTTTGAACGGCAATGCGACGGCTGTGCCATCGCTGTGCTTCGAAAAACGCGGCATGGCGATGGCATGGCTTGGGAATAGAACTTTGCCTGAGGACGAAGTTGCGTCCCCGCTTCCATATGCCATCGAGCAGTTCGTTTTGGTGGACAAATGGGGGTGTTCGCTAGACACCCACTTTGATTGTAGGTTTGGACAGTTGGGGAGGCTCGGCACCTAATTTACGGGCTGACCAGGCTGACGGAGGTAAACGAACCCTAACTGACGGGATCAGGAAGGCGAGACCCACCTTCCTGATCCCGTCATCATCCCATAGTTTTTTGCTCTATTGGTGCTAGCGAACACCGCCCATGTTGGGGTTTGACGCGTAGTAGTCAACCCCGGTAAGGAAAAGGGAAATTCCTTACAATTTAGGGTGTGTTTCTATCCCGTGTCAGACATTAGGTTTGACACGAAGTGGAGGTTCGGAAGACCCGAAGTGGCTCGTTTTGGGGGCGATTGGAAGTTCGGAAGAGACAAATTGGAGACTAAGGCCGCATGACTTGATGTCTGACGCGCCCTTAGATGCAAAACCAGTAGCACGATGCAATTCTGGGAGGTTGGGTGCCTGAGCGTCAGCCATGGCCAGCAATCCTTCACGCCGGGCGCAGCTTCGCGGAGCCGCCGGCGCGTCCCCTTGTGAGGGCGCCGAGGGAGCAGCGCTTCCGCCTTCGCTGTTCGCCAAGGGCCCCTTCCCCTTCCGCGCTGCCCTCCTCGCCTCCGCCGCTCCCGACTCGCTTCCGCCAGGCCCTGGCGGGGCAACGCAGTCGGCGGGCGTCGAGACGCCGGCGCAGCGCCGCCAAGCAGCCGCTCCGCCGTCGGACGGCGGTCGGACTGAAGCCGCCCAGTGCGCGGAGGGCGCGGAGGAGAGGGGCGCGAGTGACGGCAGCAAGGGCTTGGGCGGGCCGAGGCGAGGGCTGACGTGTTGGAGTTGCGGGGAGACGTTTGATGACGTGGCGGAGCAGCGCGCGCACTTCAAGAGCGACTGGCACCGCCTCAACGTGCGCCGCCCTGCTGTTCCCCATGTCATGGCCCCACCCCGTGCCCCCAGTGCCCCCATACAACCATGTCCCCTAAACCCCCATGCCACCATGCCCCCACCCACTACTGCCGCGTCCCTTGCCAGCACATCCCTTGCCAGCACATCCCTTGCCCCATGCTCGTTGCCCCCATGCCCCCTTTGCCCCCATGCCTTACATGCCACTATAACCCCACCTTCTTTTGCGCTCCTTCCCCGTCATCTGCACTTATCCTCTCCTCTGCTCCCCCTCCTCTCCTCTCCTCTCCTGTCCTTCCCTCCGCTTCTCTCATCCTCTTCCCCCCCTCTCCTCGCCCCCCACCAGGTCAAGCGCCGGGCATGTGGGCGCGCAGCGCTGTCGGAGGAGGCCTTTGCGGCGCTGCTGGACGCCAGGCGCGCGGGGGAAGGGGGGGGGAATGGGGGGAGGAGCCGGGGCACGCAGGGCAGTGCGGATGCCGGCGCTGCTGTGAGTAGCGGGGGCGGGCGGGACAGCAGAGGAGCGGGGAGAGGGGGGGGAAGACGACGATGACTGGTCGAGCATTTCAGGGTCGGAGGACGAGCAGGGAGGGGAGGACGCGGACGAGGGGCAGCAGCAGCAGGGGGAGGGGAAGCTGGCAGGGGCAGGGCGGGGGGCGAAGGTGCACTTCGTGCTGCCCCACACGGGCGTCACTTTCGCCCTCTGGCGCGTGCTCTTCCCCCCAGGTGCGCTCTTCCCCCCAGGTGTGCTCTTCACCCCAGGTGCGCTCTTCCCCCCAGGTGCGCTCTTCCCCCCAGGTGCGCTCTTCCCCCCAGGTGCGCTCTTCCCCCCAGGTGCGCTCTTCCCCCCAGGTGCGCTCTTCCCCCCAGGTGCGCTCTTCCCCCAAGGTGCGCTCTTCCCCCCAGATGCGCTCTTCCCCCAGGTGCGCTCTCCCCCCCAGGTGCGCTCTTCCCCCCAGGTGCGCTCTCCCCCCCAGGTGCGCTCTTCCCCCCAGGTGCGCTCTTCCCCCCAGGTGCGCTCTTCCCCCCAGGTGCGCTCTTCCCCCCAGGTGCGCTCTTCCCCCCAGGTGCGCTCTTCCCCCCAGGTGCGCTCTTCCCCCCAGGTGCGCTCTTCCCCCCAGGTACGCTCTTCCCCCCCAGGTGTGTGCTTCCCCCCACTCTGCTCACCTCCCCATTGTTCCCTGCTGTGCACTGCTCACTCTTCCCCCTGCCTGCCCATTCCCCCCGCACTCCTCCCCTTCCCGCTGCTCGCCTCTGCCGCCCTGCCCCTGCCAGAGGAGGGCGCAGATCTGCTGCAGGCGCTGGTGGCGCTGGGGGAGGGCGCAGGGGCGGCGCATGGGGGAGCATTCAGAGGAGGGGGGGACGGAAGCGCGGAGGCTGGGGAAACGGATGGGGGAAGGAGCAAGAGGGGTGGGGGGGTGGAGTCAGCGAGGGGCAAGGCAGGCGGGGGTGCAGCACAGGTGGAGGCGGGGAGAGAAGGCACGCTGGTGGGGAAGTCGGGGGGTCAGGAGAGGGGCGACGGGGGGCAAGGCGGGGAGCGCGTGTGGGTGGTGGTGCTGAGCTCGGGCGGCCACTTTGCCGCCGTGGTGGTGGACGCCGCCTCCCACGGCGCCGTGCTCGCCCACCGCTCCTTCCACCGGTGCGTGGCCTGGGGGGAGCAAGCGGCCTGCAGGAGGAGAGAGAGATGGGAAAGTGTGTGTGGCACACATGCATGGGTGGTGGGGCACACATGCATGGGTGGTGGGGCACACATGCATGGGTGGTGGGGCACACATGCATGGGTGGTGGGCACACATGCATGAGTGGTTGGGCACACATGCATGGGTGGTGGGGCACACATGCATGGGTGGTGGGCACACATGCATGGGTGGTGGGCACACATGCATGGGTGGTGGGGCACACATGCATGGGTGGTGGGCACACATGCATGGGTGGTGGGGCACACATGCATGGGTGGTGGGCACACATGCATGGGTGGTGGGCACACATACATGGGTGGTGGGGCACACATGCATGGGTGGTGGGTACACATGCATGGGTGGTGGGGCACACATGCATGGGTGGTGGGGCACACATGCATGGGTGGTGGGGCACACATGCATGGGTGGTGGGGCACACATACATGGGTGGTGGGGCACACATGCATGGGTGGTGGGCACACATGCATGGGTGGTGGGGCACACATGCATGGGTGGTGGGCACACATGCATGGGTGGTGGGGCACACATGCATGGGTGGTGGGGCACACAAGCATGGGTGGTGGGGCACACATGCATGGGTGGTGGGTACACAAGCATGGGTGGTGGGCACACATGCATGGGTGGTGGGCACACATGCATGGGTGGTGGGGCACACACACATGCATGGGTGGTGGGCACACACACATGCATGGGTGGTGGGCACACATGCATGGGTGGTGGGCGGGCACACATGCATGGGTGGTGGGGGGGCACACATGCATGGGTGGTGGGGCACACAAGCATGGGTGGTGGGCACACATGCATGGGTGGTGGGCACACATGCATGGGTGGTGGGGCACACATGCATGGATGGTGGGGCACACAAGCATGGGTGGTGGGGCACACATGCATGGGTGGTGGGTACACATGCATGGGTGGTGGGCACACATGCATGGGTGGTGGGCACACATGCATGGGTCTTGGGGCACACATGCGTGGGTGGTGGGCACACATGCATGGGTGGTGGGGCACACATGCATGGGTGGTGGGGCACACATACATGGGTGGTGGGGCACACATGCATGGGTGGTGGGCACACATGCATGGGTGGTGGGGGGGCACTCATGCATGGGTGGTGGGCACACATGCATGGGTGGTGGGGCAACACATGCATGGGTGGTGGGCACACATGCATGGGTGGCGGGCACACATGCATGGGTGGTGGGGCACACATGCATGGGTGGTGGGCACACACACATGCATGGGTGGTGGGGCACACATGCATGGGTGGTGGGGCACACATGCATGGGTGGTGGGCACACATGCATGGGTGGTGGGGCACACATGCATGGGTAGTGGGCACACACACATGCATGGGTGGTGGGCACACACACATGCATGGGTGGTGGGGCACACATGCATGGGTGGTGGGGCACACATACATGGGTGGTGGGGCACACATGCATGGGTGGTGGGCACACATGCATGGGTGGTGGGGCACACATGCATGGGTGGTGGGGCACACAAGCATGGGTGGTGGGGCACACATGCATGGGTGGTGGGTACACATGCATGGGTGGTGGGCACACATGCATGGGTGGTGGGGCACACATACATGGGTGGTGGGGCACACATGCATGGGTGGTGGGCAACACATACATGGGTGGTGGGGCACACATGCATGGGTGGTGGGGCACACATGCATGGGTGGTGGGGCACACATGCGTGGGTGGTGGGGCACACATGCGTGGGTGGTGGGGCACACATGCGTGGGTGGTGGGGGCACACATGCATGGGTGGTGGGCACACATGCATGGGTGGTGGGGCACACATGCATGGGTGGTGGGCACACATGCGTGGGTGGTGGGGCACACATGCATGGGTGGTGGGGCACACATGCATGGGTGGTGGGCACACATGCATGGGTGGTGGGCACACATGCATGGGTGGTGGGGCACACATGCATGGGTGGTGGGGCACACATGCATGGATGGTGGGCACACATGCATGGGTGGTGGGGCACACATGCATGGGTGGCGGGGCGGGATTGGGCGTGACAGTGGGAATGACGTGGGGGGGATGTGAGACGGGAAGGAGGAGCCGTGTGACATGGACTGGTGGGGAGCTGCCCATGGCTGACGTCACTGTACCTCTCCTTGCACCCCACTCCCCCTCCCCTCTCCACCCACGTCCACCTCTCCGCCCCTGTGCACTGCTCTGCCCGTCCGCCCCTGTGCACTGCTCTGCCCGTCCGCCCTGTGCATGCTCGCACTGCTCTGCCCGTCCGCCCCTGTGCACTGCTCTGCCCGTCCGCCCCTGTGCACTGCTCTGCCCGTCCGCCCCTGTGCACTGCTCTGCCCGTCCGCCCCTGTGGCACTGCTCTGCCCGTCCGCCCCTGTGCACTGCTCTGCCCGTCCGCCCCTGTGCACTGCTCTGCCCGTCCGCCCCTGTGCACTGCTCTGCCCGTCCGCCCCTGTGCACTGCTCTGCCCGTCCGCCCCTGTGCACTGCTCTGCCCGTCCGCCCCTGTGCACTGCTCTGCCCGTCCGCCCCTGTGCACTGCTCTGCCCGTCCGCCCCTGTGCACTGCTCTGCCCGTCCCGCCCCTGTGCACTGCTCTGCCCGTCCGCCCCTGTGCACTGCTCTGCCCGTCCGCCCCTGTGCACTGCTCTGCCCGTCCGCCCCTGTGCACTGCTCTGCCCGTCCGCCCCTGTGCACTGCTCTGCCCGTCCGCCCCTGTGCACTGCTCTGCCCGTCCGCCCCTGTGCACTGCTCTGCCCGTCCGCCCCTGTGCACTGCTCTGCCCGTCCGCCCCTGTGCACTGCTCTGCCCGTCCGCCCCTGTGCACGGCTGCCCGTACCACCTGTCCGCCCCTGTGCACTGCTGCCCGTCCACCTGTCCGCCCCTGTGCACGGCTGGCCGTCCACCTGTCCGCCCCTGTCCGCCCCTGTCCGCCCCTGTGCGCCCCTGTCCGCCCCTGTGCGCCCCTGTCCGCCCCTGTCCGCCCCTGTGCGCCCCTGTCCGCCCCCTGTGCGCCCCTGTCCGCCCCTGTGCACGGCTGGCCCCCCATCAGGTACGTGGTGCGAGCCAAGGCGGGCGGGCGCCAGGCAACGAGGGACGGAGCGGGCAGAGCGCCGCAGTCAGCGGGGGCCAGTCTGAGGCGCTACAACGAGGCGGCTCTTGTCAAGGTGGGGTGGGGGGCGATGAGCGGGAGATGGTGAATGCAATGGTGTCTCCTTTTCCTTCTATGGGCCCGTCTGCCCTTCCCCTCCTTTCCCGCAAGTCTGGTTTTGCTCTCCTACCCTCACCCGCTTTCATTCCCTTCATTCAGCCCCCCTACCTTGTTGCTTCCTCCCCCCCGATCCCACCTCCCCCCGATCCCACCTCCCCCCGATCCCACCTCCCCCCGCGCCCTCAGGACATCCGAGCCCTGCTGCAGCACTGGCAGCCCTACCTGGCGCGCGCACAGTTCATCTTCGTACACGCCACCGCACTCAACCGCGCTGCACTCTTCGGCACCGCGGCAGAGGCTCACGCTAGTCGGGGCACAGGGGGGGCTGTGGCGGGGTTGCTGGCGGCGCGCGACCCGCGCGTGCGGCGCGTGCCCTTCCCCGTGCGCCGCCCCACCGTCAAGGAGGCGTTGCGCGTGGCGCACTCCCTGGCACACGTGCACGTGCTGGGGGGGGGCGCAGGGGGAAGAGGGCGGGGCGGCGGGAGTGGAGTGTGGGGAAGGGGAATCGGGTGCTGTGGGTGGCGGCAAGGGGGTGGCGGCAGTGAGGGCGCGGGAAGAAAGGGCAGAGCAAAGGGAGGCGGTGCAGGGAGAAGACAGGGGGCTGGAAGACGGGATGCAGGACACAGGAAGAGACGGAGATGGGCATGTGGAGTTGCAGGGAGATGGGGAAGGGCAGGAGAGAGGAGAGGCGAGTGGGGCCAGTGGAGGGGAGGTGCAGGAGAAGGAGGCAGCGGGGCAAGGATGGGGGAGAACGGCACTCCATGTGGCAGCTGCTGCAGGTGGGGTGGGTGGGTAGGTGGGTGCCACAGCGAGGGTGTGGTGGTTAATGGTGAGAGACGTGTTGCTCTGTGCTCTGTGCTGCAAGATTCACTGGGCTGCACGACTGCATTGCTTGCTTCATGTGTGTTTGCCGCATTTGCATCACACTCATCACGCCCATCACACTCATCACGCCCATCACACCCATTCTAAGTAAGGTTGTATTCCAAAGTTGGGGACACCACCCACGCGACTCGAAATATCAGCGTGGAATTTCAATGTTGCTCCACGCGGTCCCAAGTCTGGACACCAAGCAACACACCAGTCAAGTAACGTGCGCCTGATGCGCAGGTCAAAATGCGACATAGACGATCGGGGAATTTCGGACTTCAACTTACAATCTTGACCGTCACGAACCCTGAAAAATCTGCCAACAACAACCAATGAGCCTATGGTGAATGTTTTTTCCCAGGCCGCCCAAGTAAATGTGGCTGTTTACTGTTTCCGCGCTCTGATTGGGCATGATCCAACAACCGTCAGGCGATTCTGACGAACCTGGTCGCACGCCTAATTTAGTCTCATGTTTAAACTAGACCACACCCCGCACGGACACCATCCACCCCCAAAAAGTGCTGGCGGTGGGGGAACCTCGATGGTGTCCCAACTTGGGAATACAATCCAAGTGAGCATGGCCCTGTGGTGCCGCTCTCCTATGTGCGGCCTCTCTCCTCCCACGCCATGCATTCATGTGCCGCGACCATGCATTCATTGTGCCGCGACCATGCATTCATGTGCCGCGACCATGCATTCATGTGCCGCGACCATGCATTCATGTGCCGCGACCATGCATTCATGTGCCGCGACCATGCATTCATGTGCCGCGACCATGCATTCATGTGCCGCGACCATGCATTCATGTGCCGCGACCATGCACGCCTCTCTCCCCGTGCAGGCAACCACGCGGAGGTGGCTCGCCTGCTGCAGCAGGGCAGTGACCCCACGGGGCGGGACGGCAGGGGGCGAGTGGCGTACGTGGTGGCGGCCAACAAGGCCACGCGGGACGCCTTCCGCCGCCACATGGCAGCCCACCCGCAGCAGTGGGACTGGCACGCCGCTGCTGTGCCCAGCGCCCTCACTGAAGAGCTCCAGGCCTCCCAGGCCGCCCGCCAGGTGGGGGGGGGAATGGTGGCGGAGAGGAATGAGAGCAGAGCAGCGCGGTGGGTGAGGCTTGCAAGTGGGGCTTGGACGCCTGGTAGCCTTGGGACGAGATGTCGTTGGAATATTTTGCAGACAAAAGAGACTACGGTATTGTCCAGATTGAACCTCGACTTTAGAGTAAGTTGAGCTCAAGTGAGCTTTGATTGGCTAGACTCAGTTCCCTGCTACAATGACCAGGATGTCATGCTGTCGCCACACCCCATGCCCCATACCCAATACCCCATGCCCCATACCCCATACCATACCCCATGCCTTATACCCCATACCCCATGCGCCATGCGCCATGCCATGCACTGCTCGCCGCATTTCATGATGCATTGGCCTCGCTCTCACTGGACAGCACCTCCTCCCTGCCCCCCTGCACTTCCCCATCGTGCTGCCGTGCTTGGTGCACGTGGTGAGGTTGGCAGGCGGAGAAGGAAGCGAAGAAGAAGGCAAAGGAGAAGGAGAGGAGGCAGAGGAAGAAGCAGGAGGAGAGAGAGCGCAAGGTGGGGATGGGGAGGGTGGGAATGCTTAGTGGTCTAAATCACACACTGTCTAGGCTGGATAGATGGTGTGGGGGGTTGCTCCACCCGCTACTGCTGCTATCAGCCTTCCCCTTGCTCTCATCGCACTGCCCCAACCTCCTTAATCAAGAGCACAACCATTCTCATGTAAACTCCTCCCCCCTGATGCCTCATGCCTGTTTCCCTTCCTTCCGCCATCCTCATCCGTGCACCTCTCTCCCGTCCTTGCAACGCATCTCTGTGTGTACAACCGTGCCTCGCCCCTCACCCCTCCCCCCACCAACCCCGTGCCCCGAGCAGCAGCAAGCCCTCCACCAGAGCGCGCCACCAGCGCCATCGCCGACACACGCATCGCCTGCAGAGACTGTAAGGCGCATGCCTCCATGCTGCCTTCCTCTCCCTTTCTGCGTGCTTCCTTTCGCCCTCCATGTGCTGCACTGCACGTGCCTCCGGTCACTGTGTCGCCTTGAGTCTAACCACTGCCTGCTCAAGCCTCCTGCAGCCACTCATGCAAATGCTGACGATTTTGTTCCGTGGCTTGGTGACGCGCCTGCACGCATGTACCGTATCTGTGCTGTGCTGTGTGGTGTGCAGGAGGAGCAGAGGAGGGCGAGGGAGAGGGAGGAGAGGGCAGCAGCGGCGGAGAGGCGTGTGCAGCAGCTGGCCGGGGGCACCGCTGCGCCTGCCACGGCCCACCATGCCTCCCCCGCCACCACTGCTGCAGGCAGCTGCTGCGACTCGTGTGGAGCATCGCTGGCGGGCAGGACGCCCTTCTCCCGCCTCGCCTTCAACTACTGCACCACTGCATGCGTGCGCGCTCACAAGACCGTCCTTGACGCCCTGTAGCTTCTGTCTTCCTCTGCGGGTCTAGAATCCGATGCTCTGCACAACAAGATTCATGGTACTGTATTCCCCGGATAAAAGACCCTAGGGGCTGTTATTGATTTCACAAATTTCTGTGGGGGGTCTTATTAAATTGTAAAAACCTATAAGACCCGGGTCTTAACATAAGTGCTATGATTTTAAAATATAATGAAATGCAAGGGCGTTGTAATGCAGAACTGCGTTTTTAAATCAAGGAAACAGCACGCGAATGTCCTGAGCCGAGAAAACGGGTACAATCCATGAAGCATCACAATGCTTCATGCTCATTGGCCCATTTTCAGTGGTTACCAGCATTATCGATTGGAAGGCGACCAACGTGTACCACGTCCAGTGCATTGTGTCAGACCGTCTCGGTCGTCTCATCCCTTGCATGCTACGTGAAACTCTCTCCACAGAGTCGCGCTGTCGTTGTCACGTCTAGTGCAGAAGCGAATTTGACAACGCCTGCCAACGGACCAACCTCTGTGCAATGGGGAGAGTAGCTCGGCAGGGTCTAGGATAGCGGGCCGTACAAGGCAGATTAAAATAGCGTTGCTAGATGATAGGGATGCATCGCATGAGGCAGAAAACATCGCCTCACCATGGTGACATCGCCCGATTCAGGCACGTCAGAATCACGCCGCCCTCGTGCAACACCAGTCCGTACGCCTGCTCGTGTTAGGACGACGCCGCGTCCTGTCCTGCCTGCGCCAGTATCGTCTTCAAGTGAGACTTCTCAGAGCAGCCGTACCCCACGGGCCCCCCTTCCCACGGTCCGTGTCCCCGTCTTTCCGCAGTCTTCTCGCCTGCAAGGCAAGAAGAACAAGGTTCAGGATGCAGCGCCCCCCTCGCCTCGCCACCGAATGACGAAGAAGGCGTGGCATGCGTACACGGCGAGGGAGAAACTGTACTGGCTGGATATGCTAGACACGCAGCCCGATCTCAGCATCCGGGGGCTGGCGAGGCTGGCTAACTTGCAACCAAAGCAGATTCGCGAATGGCGGAAAGTTGAAGGAGCACCTCCTTGTTTCAGCGGCTTGTCGTCGTCGCCTCGTTGGCGGAGGCCGTAAGGCAAAGTGGCCTTTCATGGAGAGGGCCATCTACTGGCAGTTCTTGGCGCACCGTGCCAAGGGTCTGGCCGTCTCAGTGAGCATGCTTCTGAAGTGGTCGCGGTAGTACATGAAGCACCGGCACCCTCAGGCCGACTGGCGCGGATCTAAACGTTGGACCTTCCGCTTCCGCGTGCGGTGGTCCTTGGCGAAGCGTTGTTAAGACAAAGATGGGGCAAAAGCTTGCAGACAGTGAGTCTCTTTGCTGTTGTGTTGTTTTTTTTGCCCCCGGCCTCCTTCATGTGTCGTGTGTTGTAATCCTTGATGTTCCTCAACTAACAATTTTTGTCAACTCTCCCCTTGCAGATTTGAAGGCGAAGGTCGAATCCTTCTGGGAGTTTGTTCGGCAGATGCAAGTCCTTAACTCCTACACCGACAATCTGATCGTTAACGCCGATCAAACGCCCCTCTTCTTGGAGATGCCGCAGGAACGGACATTGGAGATGAAGGGGGCGCGCACGGTGCACGTCCGTACCGCGGGTTACGAGAAGGAACGCCTCACCGTTATGCTGGCGGGTGACGGCAAGCGGCTTGAAATTGCCGCCGTATGTGGTGTTCAAGCACAAGACAGTCCCGAAGGTCGCCGTTCCCCGAGGTGAGTCGATACGGCCGTTGCGCATGTTTCACGTACCCTCTTGCATGCGACTAACAAGCTACGTGCGTGTGCAGGTGTCGTGATCCGGGCGCAGTCACGGGGATGGATGGACGAAAACCTCGTCCAGGACTGGACTACCCAAGTCCTCGTCACCCTTCATGAGGCCCCTGCGCGACGAGGGAGGCAGGCGGAAGGACGTCCTCCTCGTCCTAGACTCCTACAGAGGACATCTCACCGAAGGTGTCGGCCAGACTATGCGTCTCTTTAGGCTGACACGCGCGGTGATCCCAGGCGGTTGCACACCGCTTGTGCAACCGCTAGATGTGTCAATCAACCGCGCCTTCAAGGCGGGCGTCCGCCACCGTTACGGCAACTGGTTCGAGGAGGACGGGATCACCAACACAACGCCCGCAGGTGAGGCCGTGTACGAGGAGATGCCCGCGTTTGTATGTGTATGAACTGATGAATCACACAACCATACACACTCCACTCCCATTCCCTCCGCCCTCACCCACATGCAATCTGAAGAAACCGCCGGCTGAAACTCATCCTGAAATGGATTGACGAGTCGTGGGCCGACGTTCCCGAGGAGATGGTGAGGAAAGCATTCCTCACCTGCGGAATCTCCAACACCGCGGACGGGAGCCAGGATCATCTGATCCTGGCGCACATGCGGGATTCCGGCGAGGTGGAGGTCCTGGAAGACGTGATGGAGGAGGAGCAGGATGAATTTCTCCCAACCCGTTCTACCCGGCCCCCGTGGTCACCCCTCCCGATGTGACCGTCGAGATGGAGGAGGAGGCCGTGCTGGCCACTGAAGCTGACGAAGCCGATGCGGAGGCTGTACCTGCTAAGTCAGACTTGAGCGAGTCCGACGATGGAGAGGCGGGCGAAGCTGACGAGTGGAGCGACGAAGGGGATGAATGGTGGGCCCCTGGTCGCTATGAGGGGGCAGAGGTAGATGAGTGGGTGGCGGGTGACGAAGATGAGTAATAAGGTGGGGGCGGATTCCAAGGGTGGTGGGTGAATAGTGGGGCTAGTTGGGTGTTGAGATGCTGCCTTATTTGTGATTTGTGACTCCAGAGGTCGTAGATGTGCCTCTGCTTGCTATATTCACATGAATTTGCCTCAAAAAAATACTCTCAAAGTTGGGGGGGGGGGGGTCTTATAATGTTTTCACCCCAAAAGGGGGTATAAGGAAAACGGTCTTGAATAATATACCCCCCCCCCCCCCCCCCCCCCCGTATTAAAGACCCGGGTACATTATTCTAGGGGGGGTACATTATTATCCGGGGAGGAATACGGTATATCATTGTAAAAAATGTGGTACAGTATATCACCCTTACAAAACATTAAGAATGTCTAGTACGGTGGAACTGCATGCTTTTCTCAGGGCAAAACCGTGCAATAGAAAATCGTTTCTGCTTCTGGGGGCTGCATACACTGCACGCAGTACCACCAGTCATTGTGAGAAACACAGCCAGCCAGGCCGTAAAGGAATGCACAATGCGGTAGTGGCAAGCAAGTAGCGCCAGGACTGTGGCAAGAAGATGATGTGTTCAGTGTTGCACAAACACACAATGCTGCACACGCTGCAGCCATTGACCAGCATAGATCGTAATAGCAACCCAACCCACGAATGTGCTACACCAGCTATTTTGCATTACGATTGTACATGCCAGGTCACTTCTTGAATGGGTTGAACCGCAAGGCACTGTTCTCAACAGAGTGCCCTTTACCATCAACCCATGTTAGGCTTCCAAACTGGAAGCTCTCAGACGTGTTTTATCACTTTGAACGTCACCATGAAGGTTACCCTTTTACCCGGAGCAGTTGTGAATTTGTTGGGTGAAACTGTGATGGAGACTCCACTAGGAGGCCGGATGCTAGCTGTATATGTGGATGAGGAGTCAGCAACGTTTGTGACCGTCCTGTTTGCTGTCGCCGCCCCTTTCAGTCGGGCCATTGAGATGCTTGGACGGTTCAACTCACGGGGAGCAACCGCCGTAAGCCTAGCTCATGGGAAGTGCTTCTTTGCTTGCTTCATACTCTGCCCAGCTAGAAAGTTCCGATAAGCAGCTGCCCGGGGCGTCGTATGTGAGCCCGGGATCCAGCAGCTTGGGTGGGAACCACCTGGCCAGACCCCATCTCCCACAGAGTAGCAGCCTCACCATAGCCATTATCGATGGCAGCACCGCTGGTGTCAGTGGTCTTGGCGGTGGTCATGATGGCGGACATGACCTGCGCGGGGGCTCCACGAGGGGTGCTTCTGCATGATGAGAGCAGCAATGCCGCCAAGTGAGGCGTTGACATCGACGTCCCTGATAGCTACGCGTAGCTCCCTGGCCTCCCCACCTTCTCAGCCGGCCGACAATGTCGGGCTTTAAAATGCTGTTCGTGGGGAGGGTGGCGGTGGCGTTAGTGGAAGGGTCCCTGAGGGGTCCGGGTGGAGGAGAAATCGGCAACGGACGGGTAGGCTGTAGCTGCAGGGGTGGTTGAGACAGATGATGTGTTGCTGCGAGCTGCACCTGCCAGTGCAGCAGCCTTCAGGGTTATACCGCCTCGCCCAATGGTGCTGCAGGGAGGTCGAGGGAGGTGGGAGGAGGGGAAGGGAAGAGAACGAGGAGAGGGAGGAGAGAAGAGGAAAAGCCCGGAAGTTATTATTGGCGGAGTACTCGAGGAAGCAGAGTGGTGGCAAGGGATGTTGAGCAGTGAGGGTAGTGAAGCTGCCCACATGGCACACCACGAGCAAACCTTGATGTGATTACCTGCTCATCCGCTCTTGAGGTGGTAAGAGGGAAGGGAGGGAGAGGGCGGCTCACCTTGCCCCCACTGTGAGGTAGAACGGGTAGAAGTTCTCAATCATGCGGTAACCGCTTGGGTCATAGCCCGGCGCGTCACCGTTGCCCGCTGCGAACGCAACAAGCACCCCCGCGAGGCTAGCAGCGAGGTACGGCATGTGGTGGAAGTAGGTGTCGGTGGCATCCATGCCGCCCAGCGAGAGCGAGATGACATCCACGCCGTCCGCCACGGCCTGGTTGACTGCCGCCTCCACGTCCGCCTGCACGCCGAAGAAGGAGCCCTCCGCGTACCACAGCACCTTGTACACCGCCATGCGCGCTGCTGGCGCCATGCCACTCGCCCTGCCGCCCGCCATGGCCACGTCCCTGTTGCCCGCTGCTGCACTGCACAGTAGAGGATAGATGGGGAATAAACGTCTCATAAGCAGGTAACAAGCTTCTCACAAATGAGGAGGATCTCAAGTGGGGTGGAGGAGGGGGGGGAGTGGCGAGGTGAGAGATGGATAGAAGCATCCGGCTCACAAGTGGCCCGGGAGGCAGTTTGAGGAGGTGTCAGGGGTGGGATCCAGTTGATCATCTCAGATTCAACATGAAGATTTAGGCAAAACCACGTACCCTGCACCATGCACCCTGCACACCACGTACCCTGCACACCATGCACCCTGCACACCACGTGCCCTGCACACCACGTGCCCTGCACACCACGTGCCCTGCTCACCACCGTGCCCTGCACACTACGTGCCCTGCACACCACGTGCCCTGCACACCCCGTGCCCTGCACACCACGTGCCCTGCTCACCAAGTGCCCTGCATACTACGTGCCCTGCACACCACGTACCCTGCACACCACGTGCCATGGCCGTACGAATCGCGAGGCGACAGCCAGTCTTTCGACAGGTCCGGGCCACCGGTGTCCTCCTTAAAGCCCTTGTAGAACCCCCACGCGCCAATGAGCTTGTTGTTGCACTTGAACTCGCTCGTCGCATCGCACTTGCCCGACCAGCCAGCGGGGCACGAGGAGGGAAGGCGGCATCAGTGAAGGAGGGGTGCTCGGGCCAGATGCCCGAATCCACCACGCCCACCACCATCCCCTCGCCCGCCTTAAGGCAAATTTGTCTGCCCGCCATTGGCGGGCCACAGGGACCCGGGGCCGCGCGTGCCGAGGAAGGTGGGGGAGTCGATGGTGAGCGGCGTAACACTGCAGCTGCGCATCACTGCCGCCACTGCCGGGTGCCGCTGCAGCCGCCGCACCTGCTGCGGGGAGGGTGGCTGCGAAGCCGTTGCTCACGTGCATGTAGCTGGGGGAGGGGGGAAGGGTAGGGGAGTAAGGGGGGTGAGGGGAAGTGATGGAGGAGGGAAGGTGAGGGAAGGCTGGGTAGTACGGTCGAGGGCAAGTTTGAGCATGAAGTTTGTGGGTTTCCAAAATCAGCTTGGTTTACGGGTAAATTTTGGCCCCAACGCCTTCAATTTCGCATCAAAATTAGTGCTGCGGTGCCCCCGAATGATGTGGGGAGTTATCATGATGTAACCAGGGCTCTCAAACATGCGAGCTGCTGGTTCCGGCCTTACTCGTGACAGTCTCACCCCACGTACTTGTACACGATGCGGTCTGATGTCACGCCCACGTCAGCCGCGATTCGCGTCTGCTGCGTCTCGAGCATCTGCGCGTTCGCCTTGAGCTGCGGGTTCTCCATGCTCAAACGCGGGCGCCGCGGAATGCTGCCCGCCAGCGTCGCCGCCTCGTGCGCAATCGTCTCCACCGCCGCCCTGTAACAAGACGAAGGCGATCTCACCTTCCTCGATTTCGCCAACTCAGCTCCTTGTGATCCGAACCAGAATTCGGAACACACCCTAAGTGCATTTCGGGAATTCAATGTTGGAACTCCAACATTGAAATGTGCGACCCGACTTTCTGAGTTTCCAACCGTGGGAACAAAGTACAGAGAGCACACTAGTGCTGGACACAACGGGGCAGAGAATACCTACAGCGCAGCAGATTACTTGACAGCACAAGACCCTACAGCTACGACTACTTCCAGCAGTGCCCGTACTCATCATGATCAACGACGACCTGGAAGACAACAAGACAAAGAAATCTCTGCCCATTACATTAGTGTTTTCCCAGACTTTGCTGATTGGTTCTAGGACTAGACAACAAGGCTAGGATGCTATGTACATAATAATAAATGCTTTGCCTTGCTGTTCCTAGCTCTAGGAAGGTGAATGGCGACCTGAGCGACCTGCTTGAGGCGCCATAGCTAGTATCCTAGTATAATAGGATGTACCTCTGAAATGTAAGCCATCATATGATCTCTTGTAAAGCTATCTTGCTACTAGCTCTCTTAAATTCTCCTAAGAGCATACTACTACTACTACTCTGCCAAAACAGCTTAGTGGCTGTTCCATTTGGTATCCGAGCTATCTTCGATCCTCCTTTTCTTAAGAACAGCGTCATGACGACTAGTAAGGTACCTTCTCGTGATGAATGGGCTAGCTACTTGGAAACGTACCGAGCCCAACTTGTTGCTGAAGTTAGAGAGAGCTTGCAAGCAGAGATGAAAGCTAGTGTAGCTGTAGCTGGAGCGGCGGCAGCAACCTCGAACCCTGCTGCACCGCCAGACGGAAATCAGCGCGCTAGACCGCCCCCTTCCTGATTTTTCTTTCCCGGGAGAAACCAACCAGTCGTGAGCCGTTGGCTCTTTCTTGTTGAGCAATCCCTGCTCCTAAGTCACATACTACCTGCCGAGTGGACTGCTTTCACTGGCACCCTTCTTTGTGGATCTGCTATCACCTGGTGGCAATCCGTGCATGCGACCATCCAATCATGGGATCAATTCAAGCTTATCTTCACTGCTACCTTTCAACCGGTGAACCCGAACATCCGAGCACGAGACTCCTTGGCTACTCGAAGCAGCTCAAATCTGTTCAAGAATACGCTTCTCGCTTCTGTGACATCGCTCAAGAGATCCCGGACCTTTCCGATGCTGAACGGATGGATCGTTTCAAGCGCGGGCTGGAAAACGAACGTGCGGATGGAGGTCGAGCTGAGGGACTGCTCTACGCGTGGCTGAACGGTATGATTCTTCATTACAATACAACAAGCCTCGCTTTCCTGGTAGCCCGTTCCTCCCGTTGCTCCCTCCTCCCCAGACTCTACAACAACGGACTCCAATCTTCAAGAATCTGCTCCTATGGACCTGGA